TTATTTGTACGAAGAAACAAATACTTTTAAAAAATATTTAGAGATACCTAGAAAATCAGATGACTATTAACTGACTTTGTTAGGATCGTGGAATCACGATGTTGTAAACAATGTTCGTGTATTTCTACTACTAGTTAATAATAGTTATAAAAGCGAATACTCCATTTGAAACTTTCTCCTAAGACTTCATGTTAAATTACAAAATTAACGCTCAAGTCTTTTTTAATTAGAGCTGAAATTTTTATTGCAATATATTGAGTAAATTTTGTTAGGATTGAGAAGAATTTTTCAAACTTCTAATGAAAGAAACCCAAAATAATTTCTAATAAGTATGGTTGATTTTAGTCATTTATTAAGTTCAATTCCAACATCAACCATTCATACTTACAGTACTGTACAAAAGTGTTAGGACGAGGGAATATTTTGCTATTCTTTCCATTTTATTGGGCCAATTCTTCCATACCATTACAGAATGTAAATTTCAACACTATGGTAATGCTTCACTGATCCCTGTTGACAACTGAATGAGCCAGGGTAAGAATACTTATCATTCTTTAGAATTCCCATATACTTGTACCAAGGGCATGTTATAAGGGTTCTGCTCGAATGAGCATACTGATCAAATTTAGGGTCTAAAATAACCGTCATGGTACCCCATGTAGTGTCTTAACTATATAGAAAGAAGCTAGCATATGGTACCGGGATATGGTAGAATAAATCAATTTAATAGCAGTCCACAGATAAACCTTGATAAAAACAGTGTTACACTATATATATATTAAGCTTTGTTGTCATGCCACGGCTCAAAAAACATAGAGAATTGTCAGTAGAGCAGAGAGTTCGCATAGAACCTTTAAGTGATGTTGGTTGGACTCTCCGACAAATTACTGCAGACTTGAAATGCTCCCTAAACACTGTCAAGTGCACCCTAGACCATGAGTCCGAAGACAGGTAAATTTGAAGCTAGAACACCTAAACTCAATGATACTGATGTTAGATACCTTCGTTTATGCAGCCTTCCGGACAGAAGGAAGACTGCCACTACAGTATAAAGAAGACTCAACGAGAATGGAATATTTGGTTGTGTAGCAGTTAAAAAACCTTTACTTTGATCTCCACATATTGTCAAGAGACTGAAATTTACTAAAAAGTACAAAACTGGACTGTTGGTGATTGGAAAAAAAGATGTTATGGATGGATGAGTCCAAGTTTGAAATATTTGGTTCAAAGCGTAGGTTGTACAACCGGCGGAAGAAAGGTGAAGCACCTACCATGAAGCATGGGAGAGGCAGTGTGATAGTTTAGAGGTGTTTTTCTACTGAGCCGACAGGAGGCATTTGCAAAATAGATGAAATAATTGATCAGCGCAAGCACCATCAGATACTGATCCGTCATGGTATACCCAGTGGTTTGTGTATTATTGGTAAAGGATTCTACTACCAAGAACATAATGACCCCAAACACTCATCCAACCTATGCAGAAATTACTTAGCTAATAGAAAAATTGTTGGAGTCATTCAAATGATACAATAGCCCCCACAGAGCCCCGAACTAAACGCAATTGAGCAGATCTGGGATTTGATACATCAAAAACTAGAAAAATCAAATGTTACTTCCAAAGAAACTTTATGGGAGTGTATTAGAGACATTTGGAGTAAAATCCCAAAGGACCCTTTGATTAAATATGCTGCAACAATGCATGAAAGACTGTCTGCAGTTATTAAAGCAAAAGAGGGACACAAAATATTGTTTGCTGAATTCAAGCACTTCCACTGAGTTTCTGTTGTACTAAATATGAAGATTAATAAAATGTTGATGTTTCACCTGTGATTTACTTTCCATTGTTCTTTGAAAGTAGCCTGAAACCTAATTTCTGAATTTGTCCTAAAACTTTTGCACAGTACTGCATATATTATCAGAACGACATGTCATACACAAAATATGTTGCCTCTTTTTGTTTCCCTTACACTCACGAGATGAAAGTTGTTAAGCTTAAAATAAATGGAGTCACAAAACTAGAGTGTATAGAGCCATAGGTTTATTGAAACTTGATGGTGATTTTCAAACGAAAACAATAGATTGATTAACACTTTACTGTTTGGCTTTACGGAAATATTTCGGTGTCTCATTCATGCTTCTTATGAGGGTTGGTTACAAGAAATGTTCACAAACGGTATAAAGTAAAGTTTAATTGTTATTTTTTCTAGTGTAACATAGGTGTTGACACGTCTAATCTCTGTCACTCAGAAGATATAGTAGCGGAATGTGATTGTTAAGCTTTTCACATTGCAAGGCCACAGATTATCTAACGTTTACAGTGCAAAGAAAAATGACATAATGACCTTCAACGTCTTACTTAATATAAAAAAATATCTTGATGATATATCCCAAATTTCATTAATTGGTATTGAAGTTATCTCTACTATTGGTTTATTTGTAAAAAAAGAAAAAAAATCTTACTTCATGACGATTTCTACATGCGAACAAACCGTCAAAATCTCATTTGTTACAACTATTATAAATTCACACACAAATCAGCATTATACAAAATGTGAAGCTCTTAGTGTATTTTATTATGATTATTGTTCCATTATAAGAGTAGCGTCCATCAAAATCAACATATCTTTAATAGGTCAGCACTTCTCTTTAAGTGATTTTGAAAGCAGCAGTATGTCTAATATTTATTTTGTGGTATCATTCCTAACTAATAGTGTAGTAGTGAAAAAATAAGTAATGGCGCTGCGACACTAATTACAGCCCCCCCTCCCCCAGTGGCACAGCGGTATGTCTGCGGACTTACAACGCTAGAAAGCGGGTTTCGATACCCGTGGTGGGCAGAGCACAGATAGCCCTTTGTGTAGCTTTGTGTTTAACTTCAAATAAACAAAATCTAGTAATTAACTGTATTAAGACAACAACAAAAATATACAAGAAACAACAACAACAAGCACGAAAAACTCTCTAAAACGCTTTGGATAAAGGTGTCAGACTAAATAATAATAATTATTGTAGGTTGTTATTATTAGTCCCCAAAGATATATTTCTTCAGATGTCATTAATTATTCAACAGGCTTTAATTTTTCATTTTCTTTAGTATGCTTGTTTTGTTTGTTTTGGGGCGTTTATTTGGCAACACTACTTATGACAGTTGAGAACAATTTCAACAGGTCGTGGGTTGATATGAAATGTTTGTGCTCACATTCTATAGCAATGTACATATTAAAGCTCTACTATGATGTTTGTGCTCACATTCTATAGCAATGTACATATTAAAGCTCTGCTATGCCTTTATATCTACTAATTTTGATTTTCAAGGAATACTCCTGCCACTTGTTAAATAAAACAATGATAAAAGCTGTGTTGAATTCCGATTCTGACTGGCTGAAAGTTTTTTTAATTCATTTAATATTTGATATGAAACAAAAGAGGGCGTACCTGGTGGAACAAAATGCTTTGTGTAGAAACTCAGAAAGGCGTCTCCACTGAAACACGCACGCTTTTTGTGTGACAAAGAGTATTTTCAAATAATTTCATTTAAACTGTACACTGATCATAATTAATATGCGTCCAGTGCTAATTACTGTTATTACTATATAGTTTTTAACAGAAATTTTATCGAGAAAATATTTTGAACACATATTATAATGATTCTAATTATTAGCAGCCGAGTACCACGGGACTCGAAAAACTATCAAACTGCCGCTCCGCCTTGTTCCACTACACCCACGTTCGTAACATTTCTAAATTTGTGGATAACTCAGCAAATTTAGTTATTTAAAATGTGAATGTATTGGATATTCTCATATCAATTCGAGTTATGTTTACACTTCCATTGTCAGGTTTACTTAAAGGAACGAAACCTGTCAAATAATGATTCCAAATAGCTTTTACAAAAATATGAGCTTTCAATATTTGCTGTGATTGAACGTTGTTTTCAACATTTTGAGAAGCCAAATTGATAAATTTATTTCATATTGAACTGTTCTATAAATATATTTCCGCTTAAAAAAGGGTTATTGAAAAAAGAATTCACCTATTTTTTTATTTTGTGGTAATTCTAGGTATAAGTAACTTGCTCCTAACCTGCAGTCAAGAGAAATTCCGTTGTTCACGAAGGTAAGGAAATTTAAGATAATGAAGAATGGTCTTGTTAAAGTAATCTTAAATACTATTATTGGCCCGGCATGGCCAGGTGGTTAGGGCTCTCGACTCGCAATCTGAGGGTCGCGAGTTCGAATCCCCTTCCCACCAAACATGCTCGCCCTTTCAGCCGTGAGGGCGTTATAATGTGACGGTCGATCCCACTATTCGTTGGT